AGTTTGACTCATAATTAAGTGTAAGTTCGTCTTTGGATACTGGTTCTGGCCATGAATGCCACGTTTGCATGATCTTCATTAGAATCTGCATCTTCTGATTCTGAATCATCCCATGTTACCATGAGACCTTTCTTAGCTTTGTAAGCCTTCTTAGGCTTCTTGTCTTTCTTGAGCTTTGGGCAATCATTTTTGTAATGTCCAGGCTCGTTGCACTCATAACAAGTAACTTCTTTTCCAGAAGCATTTTTCTGACCAGAAGTGGATTCACCTCTTCCATAAGTCCTTCGTTGAATTCTTAATTTTCTTTGTCTATGCTTCCAAATTTGACTGATTCTTCTGGATATCAACGAAAGTTATTCATCATATGAATCTTTTTCAGATTCTTCCTTAGCTTGATAAGCCTTTTTTAGAGCAACGGGTTTTACCTTCTTCTGAGGTTTATCCTGATCAAGCTCTATCTCATGACTTCTTAAAGAACTAATAAGTTCCTTAAGACTCATGTTGTTCAGATCCTTTTCCAATTTTAAAGTAGTTACCATTGGTCTCCATTTGACCGACAGACTTCTGATAATCTTCTTTGCATGATCTATTGTAGATTAACCTTTATTCAGAACCATAAGTCATGTAACAAGTGTCTGAAATCTTGAAAACATCGTTTCAACAGATTTGTCATCTTCCATCTTGAAGGCTTCGTATTTTTGAATTAAGGCCAGAGCCTTTATATCCTTTACTTGTGCATTGTCTTCATGCGTCATCTGAAGAGAATCAGAGATAGACTTTGCAGTCTCTTTATTCATGATCTTCTTATATTCATTGTATGAAATATCACTAAGCATGATAGTTCTTGCTTTGTAATGATTCTTGTAAACTTTCTTTTGAGCATCTGTCATTGCACTTCTTGCAATATTCTGACCTTTATCATCTACTGGGTGAGTGTAGCCATCAAATACCAGATCCCATAGATCCAAGTCATATTCTAGAAATTAGTTTTCGATTATATCCTTCCAATAGTCAAATTTCTCCTCATCAAACATAGGAGGTTTTGAGCTATAGTGATCTCTATCATTATCCCTATTATCAACAGTGGAAGTAGGTGTAGCCATTGTTTTTCACACACACTAGATCGGTACTTAACACTGTTAAGTGTTGATAAAAATGCAAACTTTTAATCTCTTCAGAACCAGAGCTCTGATGTCAATTGAAGGTGTGAAAAACACAAGAAGTGGGGAATTTGAATTGGGTTTTAAATCAAAACTTTTCTTTTAATAATATCCCCTTTAACTAAAATATTTTTTCTTCACTCTTGATAATAACAATAATTAAGAACAAGAAGTAAATAATAAGGTATGTTTATACTAGTTCACTTGAAAACTATCAAGCTAGTCTAGTCCACCCTCCAAGGTGATTTCGCCTCTATCAATCGAGGACTTAATCCACTATAACCAAATTGATTACAATTTGCACAAGCTACCCGCAAGTGACTAACAACCTCTAAGACACACTAGTCCTAGACTTCTTAACGATACAGACCTAACCGGCCCCTTAAGGAAATCAAACAACTGTTTGAATACAAGTTTTGTTTACAATGATATTACTTCTACACAAGTTAAATATGTAAACTATTTTAGGAACAATGGCCAAAAATATGAAAGCTATGAACAGGGCTTTGTGCGTAGATATTTCGTTGAGTTGCAGCTTTCTCTCTTAGTCTTCAAGCTTGTATATAGCTAATAAAATAATATATCTGTTGAGGGATACTCTTGGGATTTCTAGAAACATTGACAGCTTGGGCAATAACAAGGAGGACAAGATCGTGCAACGTGTTTGTCCTTTCATGGTAGTGGAATAAAACGTTGATTGTACCACGTTAATGTTATCTTCTTTCCTTCTACACTTTAGAGGCTTCTGCGAGCATGAGTTTAGAAGCGAGAATATAACACAAGATCATCAGAACTTCAAGTCTTCAGAGTCTTCAATACTTGATCGTAAGAACCTTTTCTTAGAACCTTGCGTTTTTATAACTTCAAGTCTTTAGAATCTTTAGAACTTCTATTTTCAAAGTCTTTAGCACTTAATCTTTAAAACATTTATCTTTAGTACCTTGAGTCTTTAGAAACTTGAGTCTTTAGCATCTGGACTTAAGTAGAAATTTATGTCTTCAGATCTTCTGATTGTTTCTTTAGAACGCGTTGTCTTTAGAAGCATGAGTCTTCAGCATCTGGATGTAAGTAGAAACTTTTGTCTTCAGGTCTTCTGACTTGTTTCTTTAGACAAATATTAGAGCCTACACTTCAAAGTCTTTTGGAGTTTCTTGCTACTATTCATCAGAACTTGTGTAGTGCATAATCGTAATTAATTTTCTTCTAACGTCTTGGCCACACTATTCATCAAAAGTAGAACCTTCTTGTTAAATACTCAAAAATAACAAATATTAGAGTATCAAAATTGTTCATACAAACATACTCATTTGTTATCATCAAAACTCAGAGAAAATATTGCAGAACCAAATTTTGTTCTTACACAACTACGATGTGTAAGTGTAGCTACAAATCTCTTTGTTAGGGATGGATGTAATTATTTTATATTCATGTTTCATTCGGTCATAATGTTTTATGTGATTTTAGTTATGCTTTAATATTGACGATTCTTCGTTCTTAATGTTTATTTTGATTTTACTATCTAAAATAAGTTTTCATGGTACGACTTGACATACGAAAAGTGTTGATAGTTATTAGATCCAAGTCTCCATCTATTGGATGCTAGTTCCTAAACATAGGGTTAGGTTTAATATTCACATAATATTGATAATTGGTAATCCATGTTTGTATATCAATGTTTTTTTTTTTAGATGTTTGTATATCATGGTTGGAACTTAATGTTATTGTATTTAATAGCGTGAGACATCAGCTATTAAGTTATACAATTGATCTTACGTCGTTGAGTCAAAAATGAGATACGGTGAGAGCAAAGTGTGATAATATTAATAGCTGAGTAGAATAGCATATTAGTGACTAATGACTATGCATTAGTATAAGGATGACGAAATCTACCCCTAACAAAAATTTTCATTATTAACACCAAAACCTCAATTTACTTTCTATCATTTATTTTCAGTCATTTACTTTTCTGCACAAAAAAAAACTTTTAAAACCCTTACTTAGAGTCATAAAAAATTTTGAATTCGTCTTTAAACACAACCAGTCTCTGTGAATACGATAATATTTGCAATACAACAATTATGCATCAAAGATCATGTGTAGAATTACCTCAACAAAATAGAAGGGTTAAGAGAAAATACCAACACCTTCTAAATATGGGAAGAGTCCGACTATACGGGTCCAAAATTCCTAAACATTTAGGGTTATGCCCTCTCCTATGTCTGTTTTATTATTAATCGCTTCAATAATCTATTGTTAAACAATAAGTCACCTTATCAAATATTGCATAATTATTCACCTAATATAAGTCAAATAAAGTTTTTTGGTTCTCTTTGTTATGCTTCTACTTTACAAAATCACATAACCAAACTTGCTTGCAGAGCAAGAAAGTCCATATTTGTAGGATATGGTGTTAGTTTCAAAGGCTTTGGTTTGTTAGATCTTCACCCGCAAGAAGTTTTTATCTCACAAAACGTCATTTTTCATGAACATATTTTACCTTATCATGTTCAAAGTTAATTTGTCACACGTTATTGGGAATATTTCAGTGACTTGCACAACAAGCCATGTTCTAGTCCACATAATTCTCATGAGTAAGAACCTCAAATCCTTGAACATGTCCATACTACTCCTTTCATAAATCCCCCACACGATAATGTCCAACCAATTCTTGTCATATAATCATCCCTTGTTGACATTCATTCACTTGTCATAGATTTATTCACAATGGGGTATCATCAAGGGTTAGACATCAATCAACACGTCTTAAAGACTATGTATGAACTTCTTTTCATGATGCACCAAACTAATCATCTTCGAGTACTCTCTATTCCTTATCTATTTTTATTTTTCTTCTTCACATTGTTATTTTAGTCTTTTATTAACAACATTAATTGAGTAAAAATCATACAATGAGGCTAACAGATTTAAATGTTGCAGTCAAACTATGAAAGTTGAACTTGATGCTCTTGATAAAACCAAAAATTAGAAAAAATTTCACCTTTCATCAGAATTTAAAACCAATAGGCTATAGATAGATGTATATTTGTTGTTTGATTTACAAGTTAGATGTGTCAAACCACCTGTTTTGCATTACGATAATCATAGTGCTTTGCATATAGCAACCAATCCTATTTTTTATGAAAGGGCATAACATTTGGAGATAGATATTGCGACATTGTAAGAGAGAAATTTCAAGCTAGCACCATGAAGCTTCTTTTTGTTTGTTCGCACATTCGAGTAGTTGACCTCTTTTAGCAAGTCCCTTTTGCCTAAGTCATTTTCTTGTCTCATGTCCAAGTTTAATTTACATATATCAAAGTTCAATTTATGGGAGACTATTAAACAATGATGAAGAAGTTAGTTCAAGGTTAGCTCAAAGTTAGTTCAAAGTTAATTAAAAGTCAGTTTCAATAGGTGCATTTCTTGTTGTACAAGTAACAATTCAATAAGGATGTAATATATTAGCTATGGTTGTCTTTCATCTCCATATATATAGATGATTGGTAAATGAATAAATCAAGAGAAACGAGCATTGATGCATTTTCTGTTTTAAGTTCAATTCAATCATTAACTTGTTGAATGCTAATAATGCTATTTTTTGTGTATTTATTTCTAAGATCAGTTAACAAAAAAACATAAGAATAGGAGAAAGACAGTATAAAAACATAAAAAGAAAATTTATTGAAGACATCGGTAACTAGTTAAATCTAAAAACATAAAATAAGGGTGCATCTGATAAAAACTATACAGGAGCGTAAATGAGTATATTAAGTAAGCAAAATATGGAAAAAAGATAGCTCCTTAGTTCCAGGAGATTAAGACATTGGTTAAATTTAAAGCTTATAAGATTTTTTCTATGGTGGATGTTAGTGTTGACTTGGGCACAGCTCCAACAACAGTGTCTTTCTTTTCACCGTCTTTAAAGATCATAACAGTTGGGATACTTCTAATTCCGTAGCGGGTAGCAGTTGAAGGACTCTCATCTGTATTGAGTTTGTAACACTTGAGTTTCCCAGCATATTGTTTTGCTAGTTCATCAAGTATAGGGTGGATCATTCTGCAGGGACCACACCATGGAGCCCAGAACTCAACCAAAACGGGTGAATCAGATTCAAGTACAAGTGATTGCCAATTTGCTTCCGTTATAGGAGCCACTGCAATATATATATAAACCATTTCTATTTCAATATAATAAAGTTTATATAAACGATAAAACAGTATTCTAAACTTGCATGTTAACAATTCTGAAAACTGACCATCCACAGCGGTATCCTGGGCCTCGCACACTACACGTGAAGTGCGGGTAGCGTTTCTGAAAGCAGGCGAAGCAGTGAAAATGGGCCTGAATTTGGGATTGGGCTTCAGTTTTAGGGCCACGTAACGTGAGAACTTGAGAGAACTCCGGGTGACAGAAGAAGGGTGAGGAACGATGGCCATGGATTCTATGACGGTGGCCATGGAGTGCGGCTGGTGTTCTGATGAAGGTGAAGAGAGTTGGATATTGTTATGTGGATGAGGATGGGGTGAGAGTGTTTGTTGTCCGGTTGCATTTTCATGTTACTGTCATATCAGCTCCACCAATGATTTCACGCCATGTCACCACTGCTTCTAACCAATAACATCTTTTCCAATTTCATTTTTTATTTTATTATTTTTGCTACTTTAATTTTACATTCTTAAATGCCATTTTTATACTATTGTATTTCTTTTATTAAATATATATCCTGTCTTCTAATATTCAACTCTCAAACAAAATTTATCACATCAGCTTCATCAATAACTAAGTTTCATTGTGTCTCAATATCAATATATTTAATAATCTTTTTTTTTTTTTCATTTTTCCGTGAGTATCAATACCCAATTATATTCAAAGGAAAAGAAAGTAGTTAAAATTTTAGTTTGTGCGAAAATGAAAATATATATATATATATATATAACACATGATATAAACATCCTTAAACAATAACAAATATTTCATTACAATCAATAAAATTTTAAATATAATGTTTGTGTTGTTTCATGTAGTTCATTATAAATAAAGACTAATTATATTTATCTTTATTTTCGTTCTTAAGTATTACGGCTACCTTAAATCTGTAACATACTTTATTTTTTCTATACGTAAGTAAAAGTTTCATTCTCACGTATACGGGTGTACATAAAAATCTAGTCCGATTGCTCATCCCAAAAGATAACATTAGAATCAAATTCTAACACACTCATACTCTCTCTATCAAAAGCAACCAGAAGAGTTATTTTTTCGAGAACGTCCTAATAGGTGACTTCTTGTGTTAATAATAATGGCTAATTTTCATACACTTTCGCTGCTATAACTTGATGTTTAAGACAAGTTTCTCTCGCGCATAAGAGCTTCTATTTTTCCAACATCTTCAGGAGTGTCAACACCATGGGCCTCATGGTTAAATTTTATTACCTACAACAAACAACAAAAATTAACTCTAATAACCATTACAAGTTAAAATAAAAAACAAGTACACAATATTGATATGAATGGTAAGGTTACAATAAACTCGGTTCTCAGCTATGCTATGTCCTTTTAATTATCCCAAAACACTTTATTTTAATTTTTTTTTTTCCTTTTATTGTAAAATCAACAACTTGTCCTTATGCTTGTTCAACAAACTCACATTGTATGAATTTGAGAGCTTTGCTCATTTGATTCTGATTTTGTTAAACACTCCAAGTTGGCAACCAGATTTTATACCAAGATTTGAAGGGTATTTAGATTATGAAAGGACTTTATACAAGGTCAATTTAAAAATAATCTAGTAAAAACTTGAATGTTTTAAGAGGAATGAAAACCAATAATACCTTCATCTTATAGCCATTCTCAAGAACTTTAAGCTGCTCCAAGTCCTCCTCAAGTTGCAATGGAGTACGTGAAAGATATGGGTATATCTTTAAAAACTTTGTATCATAACTCTGGAAGATAAGTACACAGAAATATTAACTCACATGGAACTTGAAGAAACAGACTAATTTTGAGCAACAGTTGTTATCCCGGTCAATTAAAGGAATTGAACATTAGTACCTGAATCCCAAGATGAAGAAAATAAGGGTACTCATAATTGACTTTCCCTGACCTGTAGCAAGTATGCAGATATTTATCCAGCTTTAAAATGTACAATACAAAAAAAATTAACAAATTTCACAAGAAATCTTGTGAATGACGGAATAATTAAGACTCAAATTCAGAAATTTCAATTTGTTCTAGCTTACTTATTGAATGGGATTAATCCTCGTGAAAAATAGATGGCATAACCTTGATTATTAACCACACATTTCACTCTGTTTGGATCAAGTGCATCTTCAGGCTTTAAAATGGTAACCGCAGTGCTGAACACTGCATCTGGCGTTGCCTGTGAGGAGCAAGGTGGATTACAGTATTAGTGGAAGAATATATTGTTTCCTTATGGACAAAATGTTTTGATTCTTAGATATAATGATCCTCAATATAACCTGATGCAACTTTAATTAGCAATTTCGAAAAGTGGATTCACCATTTACTTTTAGAGATAAAGTGCACATATTGATTACAGCTTAAAGTAAATAATAATTAATTCATAGAACTTTCATTTTCTTGGCATGAAAAGAATAATTCTTTTTTGATCAAATTGTACCTGCAAAGCTTTGACAACACGATCTATCATTTCAGGTTCAACAAGTGGTTCATCACCTTGAATGTTTACAACAATATCGTACTTTTTCCCAAGCTTCTGTAGGGCTTCACTGCAGCGATCAGTACCTAATAAGCAAAACAAGGTATGACACAATGTGGGAAAAAAGAACTCAATAATTGAAATATACATATACTACTAGTATGCTTACCGGTTAGGCAAGACTCTGATGTCATTATGACATCTGCACCAAAATTCCGACAGCAGTCAGCAATCTTATCATCATCTGTTGCCACAACTAGAACCAGAGAAAACTACCAATTAGACCTCATAGAAGTAAGCCAGATAGATATTCACATGTTCACTAAGCAAATACTAAATTATAAAAAGGAATATTTTGCTATTGAATATGATACATCAATCAGCATGTGTAGAGAATGCATTAAAATCAACTTTTACCACAACCCAAACCAAATCATGATGTTTTTGAATCGTAAAGAAAGTTAGACAGGGGAGTAAAGCAAAACTGATAGATCTTGGAAAAGTTGGGTATTTCTTGCCTTCAATTGCTCAACAAGAGGTTTTAAATGCATGAACAAAGATGTTAACTGTATAAGCTGAAATGAAATACGAACAGTTTACTCATCCATACATAATTAAAAATGGGAGTGTATACTTTTATTGCTCTGTTCAAATAAGCACCTCAGAAGCATCAGATGTTGGACATGCAATTAAAAACAGATATTAAACTGTGGTTTACTCTTGAAGCAAAACTCTCCATATTAAAATTCCATGGCCAAGTGCAACAAATAGTACATGGATCCTAGATTTTCATAGAGGCATGTATTCACGAGTCATGTTCAGAGATTATTACAAGTCAAAGTTATATATTAAAGTTAGTTAAGCCAGATTGGAGGAAGATCATGCAGATAGACCTACCAACATGATCCAACGAAGCTGCCAGCTTTGCCCTTTCCCATGTTCTCTGTAAAATTCAGCTTATTGTAAAACACATCATTGTTTGGTCATTAGAGACAACAACTTTTGACGAGAAAAAGTGCTGAGAATAATGTCAACAAATCATACTGAATGTTTCAATTTCTAATTTCTAATAAACTAAAAAATGTATAAGCCAAGGAAGCTATTAGAGTAACACTAGTTAAGCACTAGTTAAATATATTAGTAGAGCAGCTAAACTGTAGTTTAGCCTGCATCAGGATTCTCTATAAATACACTGCTCTAGCAGTGCTGTAAGTAACAATTCAGAAATAAAGAAATTCAGTTGGAACAAACTTTCCCTCTCTCCTTACTTCCTACTGTTCATCATTTTCTAATACGGTATCTAGAGCTTCTTGAACAATTTCCATGGCTTCCAATAGCGGCAGTTCAGACAACACCGTCCAAAGCACGGTGGCGCGTGACGGCGTGTCTTCAATTTTCAATTTGAAGAACGTCTTCAAAACGTTAATGCGGCACGTAACACTGAAGCTGGACGAAAACAACTTCCGATCCTAGAAACTCATCGCCTTCATCGTCTCCTTGTGAATCCAGTTATTCCACCGTGCTATCTCTCTGATGAAGATCGTGCCGCCGAAAAAGAAAACCCTGCGTTTCTGGTTTGGGAGCAGCAAGATTCGCTGTTGTTCACATGGCTTCTCGCCACGCTTTCCGATGCGGTGATTCCTCGCGTTATCAGGATGCGTTCATTATCACCAGATCTGGGATGAAATTCATCAGTATATTTTTGCGCACATCAATGCGAAATCGAGGCAATTGCGTTCGGAATTGAAATCCATCACCAAAGGAGAAAAATCAATTACTGCATATCTTGCTCGAATTCAACGAACTGTTGATATTCTTGAGTCAATTAATGATCCAATTTCGCATCGTGACCAACTTGAGGCAATTCTTGATGGTCTACCCGAGGAATATAATGCCCTAGCTTCTATAATCCAATATCGTACCATTCAATGCCCTATTATTGAAGCTGAATCCATGCTTCTTGCTCATGAAGCCAAACTGGAGAAAGCAAAGAAAGCTACTCTCTCTGAGCCTCTATCTGTCAATGTTGCACAGGCTACACCAGCTGTTGGTGATCAAGTTGCTCCTCACACTACATCTGATTCCACTCATGTGATGCAGTATGCTGAGAATCCTTCTTATGGTGAAGGACGTGGGGGATTTCGTGGCAGGTATAATCGTGACAGAGGTGGCAGAAATGGGGGCAGAAACAGTCCAATGCCAAATTTGTTCTAAACCAGGTCATGATGCAAGCATTTGCTATCATAGACACTCTGCTGTAATGCCTTCTATGTGGAATGCTACTCCACAACAGCAGAGGCCTGCATGGAATCAATGGCTTAATCCTGCTCTAGCTCAGTCTATAGCACCAAGTGGCTACAATCAGTGGATTCCAAGCTCTAATGCTCCCACACCTATGCAGAATCAACGGCTTTCTCCTGCTCTTAGTGGCCCTCCTCCTGGCTTTGCTCAAAAGTTTGTGTATCAACCACAAGCTCACTTTACTGGCACAGGATTTCTGGCTCCTGCTGATTTCACTCAACAGGCTCAACCCTGATGTCCTGACTCAGGTGCCACACATCATGTGACCAGCAATGTAGGATACTTGTCTGAGAGTGTAGCATTGTCTGGTACTGACCAAGTTTTGCTTGGTAATGGTCAAGGTTTGCCTATAACCTCTATTGGCACTGCCTATTTTTCTTCACCATGCACAAATCGTAAATCGCAATCAAAATCGATGAATTTTACTCAAATCGTTTTGTTGAATCGAAAGGGGAAATCAAGATCGTATAATTGAAAATCGCAACCAAAATCGATGGATTCAACTCATAATAGTGTATAGTGTATATATATAAAGTTTAAAATCATAAAACAACCACGTCTCAAATCTTAAATAAAACAAAATACTTAAAGTCTAGATGCTAAATTAGATCACTAATGCGCCATCTAGTTGAATCATCTCCCATAATGTCAACATTGTCATCTTCATTAATCTCATCATCGTCACCACCACTACCACCATCATCATCATTATCATCATCACCACCACCACTACCACCACCATCATCATCATCATCATCATCATCATCATCATCATCATCATCATCATCATCATCACCACAACCTCTTGCACCACTTCCATCATCAACTTCGTTGTCACTTTCTTCTATATCTTCAGCAATATCAAATTCATCTGCAAGTGTAGGTGATGTAGCATGCTTGTCAAGATCTCGATCTCGACCTTAAAATGTAAAGAATTTATGATCTCACTCATCTCCAACGATCCAGATCTTAAGTAGAATTGCGTGTTGTAGACAAATTGTGAAAAAACCCCGTAAAATCATTGATTTTGTGTGAACTTTACCAGCTCCGGCCATGATTAGTCGTTTTCCGACCACCATTAAAAGGTGAGAAGGATGACAAGATGCAGAGGCACAACGATTACGATTCGGCGGAGATGAATGTGCGCTTTTTGAAATAAAGTTTTAGATTAAGGGTGAAAGGTTTGTTTTAACTACTTTACTTATGATAATCCTAGTAATTGACCAAATATGTCCCTAATGTCTAAACATTAACAAATGTTCAATAAAACCTTTATCATAAATGTCTAAAGAATATGAAAAAGAGTCATTTTCTCACTAGTACACTTGTTTACTAACATATATCATGTAAAAATACTTCAAATATATACTATTATTTTTTCATTTTGATAGGATCTTATGATTTTTGTTGCTATCTTATGCTTTACGATCTTGTTATCCCCTCTCGATCTTTCAGAAATAATTGAGTAGGATCTTCCGATCTCAACTACGATTTTATATTTTACGATCTTGTTATTTTCTCCCGATCTTAGGTAAGATCTCGATCTTAACAACCTTGTGATGTAGCACTAGTAGTACCATTAGTATGCATCAAATGAATGTAACACTAGTAGTACCATTAGTATTGAAGACTTGAAGGAGAAAGAAACACGGTTGATGTAGAAGCGCAAACGTCAAATGAATATCAATAAAATAGGGTTTTCCCCCTTTTTAAATAAAAAGGGTTAAAACCGAGTCACAAAACTGAAATGAGTCGTCTTTACCCATTCTAAAATTACCCCAAAAAAAAGCCCAAAATCGGTGGAACCCATATGAGATCGCGGACTTTGCTGCAATTTAGCGATTTTGGACGATTTTATTGGGATTTCGCTCTGAACTAAGATTCTACTCACGATTCAAATTGTTTAGGGTGAACAAAATCGCAAAATCCATGGATTTCACGATTTTGATCGCGATTCTGACAACAATAATCATCACCACCACTACCACCACCATCATCATCATCATCATCATCGCCTCTTGCACCATTTCCATCATCAACTTCGTTGTCACTTTCTTCTATATCTTCAGCAATATCAAATTCATCTGCAAGTGTAAGTGATGTAGCACTAGTAGTACCATTGGTATGCATCAAATGAATGTAGCACTAGTAGTACCATTAGTATTGAAGACTTGAAGGAGAAAGAAACACGGTAGATGTAGTAGCGCAAACGTCAAATGAACATCAATAAAATAGGGTTTTCCCTCTTTTTAAATAAAAAGGGTTAAAACCGAGTCACAAAACTGAAACGAGTCGTCTTTATCCATTCTAAAATTACCCCAAAAAAAAGCCCAAAATCGGGGAGTCCATATGAGATCGCGGATTTTGTTGCGATTTTGTGCGGTTTTATTGGGATTTTGCTCTGAACTAAGATTCTACTCACGATTCAAATCGTTTAGGGTGAGCAAAATCGCAAAATCCATGGATTTCACGATTCTGACAACAATGCAAGGAAATATTTAGTGTACGTTTGTTTGAGACTCCTGAAGCCCCCAACGATCATTTCATTTCAGTTTATTGGATTTGATGAAAATCCATTGCTACAGTAATATATTGCTTGGTTAATATATTGCTTGGTTACAAAATTGATTTTAAAGTAAGCATTACTTTCTAGCATTTCCACCAACAACCAACGACGCCTTTTACCACTAAGTGGCAATTTATAGCAATTCCTTTTTAACAAATTGATTACGGATAGGATCCATAAAATCCTTTGTACTTTAACATCCAAATAAAATCAGTTCTTTCACACCCACTTTTAACATATAATTATCAAACATCAACTTTTTAAACCTCATTCCTTTTAAAACAACTCATAAACCTCGAGGAATATAGGTTGGCACACCAAACAACAATTGAGTGATGCTATGTGAGTCAAGTGGTCGGGTGACTTGGGAAAATATCTTGAGGAACTTATTCTAGATCAAAAGGTATCCAAGCAAACTTTTAAGTACATTATCGATAATGTAAATCAAAGGCATAGCAACTAGAAGGCTAGGATTTTATCATTCTTGGGGAGAGTCGCTCTAGCTAAGTAAGTTATCCAAGCTCTCCCTTCATATGTCATTCAATCAGCTTGGTTTCCTAAATTAGCCTATCATGATGAAATCAGTTTTATCAATTACAGACGGTGGACCAAGATAGGATGCCAAAGCTTCACTATTTTAAGCCACTATTTCCGCCATAAAACACCATGGTACCGAAATCCTTCACAAATTGGCGATAGCAATTGGTGAAAAAGCAGCTACTACAATCTGCTATGGTGCTACCATGGCCACTATTTGATAATAGTGGGTGAACCAGATTAGGAAGTATATGAATTTTACTTGGGGTGATCAAGATCAAGCTCATAAAGACCTTATTGCTTAGGACTGTTGATGTACATCGAAGCGGAATAGTGGTCGTGGTTTGAGGCATAGTAGAAATGTGAACTCAGCCTACATGATGGGGGCAAGGTAGATAATTTTCTCCGAGCAACAATCTCCAATTTCTCAGGTGATTAGAAGTACACATAGATGTGTCAATAAATTACTGCTAGCAGTAATAGAAGTAGGCTGGGCCACAGGGACGGGGACCTACATGGAAGGATGTGAGTGTTTTTTTTTAATTGTTGATTTATAAATATCAACAATTGTTTAGCACATTATGAGAAAATACAACGAAATGCTGCTACCAATCCATTTTGCTCGTATAACATATACCATTTTAGCTTAACGGTGTGAGTGCTTGAGCCCCCACTATGTTGACATTTTCTTTATTACTATATATATATATATATATATATATATATATATATATATATAGAAAGTTTGAGAGATTTTTTTCATAACTTTTCTTAATACTATATATACATATATTGTTATATCTGTTATCAATATTATTAAGAGTTGAATGCAAAATCATATGAAAGGTTAATGGTTAAATGATTGTTTCATCAATCATCACTTGCACAGATAAAAATATTTTTATAGACCTTGAGAAAAAGAAAATTATTTAATGTATATAGGGTCTGTCTCTGGGCCGGGGTCAATTTTTTGGCAAGGCTTTTGAAGCTTTTGAGATCAACTCACTAGTAAACTATCATATGGGGAATAAGTATGGGAGGATAATGAATTTTTAGACAGATTGATGGTTCCTAATGCTTGTCTGGTTTTGGAGTAATTAGCCAACTAATGCTCAGTTCTTTGAACAATAAATTAGAGCGATGGTTCCCCCACAAGGTGCAAATCTAAAGGATTGCTTAGCTTGGAAATGATACAATGAAGGCAGGTAGGTTTTCTACATCTTGTTCCTGTAACTCTCGTCAGAGCAACAACAATGGTCATCCCTACAAAATGTTATTCTCGAAACATAGAAATTAAGAGGGTCCGGAATGCAATCATGGATTTATTTGGAAGGCCAGTCATGAAACACTTAAAAACAATGAAACATAATCCTTAGTGTTAGCTATGTTCCCACCCTTTGGAGGACCATTTCCATATTTATCAAGACTGCAGGAAAGTGAAGGAGGCTTTAGTAGGAAGCACTATTTTATCTCTGCATAGCATTGCGAGTGTGGGCATATAAAAAACTCCTTGACACTTGATAAGAGACTGGTGCAAGTTAGAGGACTATGTTTGGGACGATGATGAATCAAATGTGGAGAATGCACAATTAATTAGTCTTTAATAAATTGAAGAGCAAACAAGTGCTAGGTCTTTGTGAAAGGGAGTAATAAAATGGTAGAGTCCATTATTCTGAATGGGAGATCCATTGCGTATGGAGGGGTGTGATTAGAGATGACAAAGGTTATTTGATTGTCTTGTTTCTTGCACAGTTAGGATTCGTCCGGTTGAGAATAATCCAAAGGAGTCACTGATCCTTCATGAGGCAGTAGGACCTAAGGAGTGGCAAGTTTATTCTAAAAAAAGGGTAAAAGAGGGACTCAGAATTAGCTTGGGAATTCTCTAGTGACGTGGAGGGAGAGATGAGAGCTAATGACCATTTCCACATTATAGGGAGTAGGAGGATAGATTGAGGGATATCTTGGTTAGATATTGAGTTAATAAAATGAATAGGAGGCAGTGAGCTTCCTATATGAGCCTTGCTCTGATCAGATCTAAGGATTCCTTTTCCCCTTTTAGAATAAACTTGCTACAACTTGGGTCTCAATGCCTCATGATGGATCAATCACTCCTTCGGATCATTCTCAATTGTGCGAGTCCTAACATCTATGAAACACTGACACCTCTAGGAGTTAGCATGTTGCAGCGTCCGACACTATATGACACACGTACGACGCATGTTGGAAAAGTCAGACAGGTGTCCCTAAAAAATTGTTTTTTTGCTTCAACACTTTTTGAATCGATGTTTGGCACATGTATGACACTCATACAACATGTGTAAGACCATTTAGACAAGTGTTCCAAGAAAAAAATATTATTTTTCTTTACTTCAACATATCTTATACATTTGTTGGACAAATTTCATACATCTAAAAGGGTTAAACATATATTGAAGAAATGTTATGAATGAAGAATTAAAGATATAAATTTCGATTAGAATATCTTGAACTCTTTTAATAATAGATAGATAAATGAACCTCAAATATTATCATATATGTAGCGGTATCGGTGTCCTATTTTTTTACATTATTAGAGTCCGAGTATCTGTGTCAACCAGTGTCCGTGTGAGTCAGTGTGCTTCATAGCCTAACATACTTCTTTTAGTGCTGGAATATTCATGGACCATCATTCATGGGATCCAAATTGTTTAGAATAGGGGTTTCATAGTGCAAAGATTCTCTATTACTCTAGGTGGCAGAATAGCTGATCACAAGTGGGTGCAATAATATCACACATACTACGCTATTATCTCAGTCATTCGTGAGGTGTTTCAATGAAAAAGTCGCAAACATTGGAAGGAGTTCAAATCACAAGAAAATTTCGAAAAAAGAAAACAGAATTTTTGTGTACAGAGAGGAAGGTACCTGGATCATAGGCTTGCCAAGAATCTGAACGAGAGGCTTTCCAGGGAACCGGGAGGAAGCAAATCGAGCGGGTATGATACCTACGACCCGGCTACGGAATTTGTAGAATCGAGTGAAGTAAACGTGAGCACCGGCAGCGGCTACAATTGAAACCCCAACCACGATGCCATGGATGATCCATGCCTTTGAGTTATTGGAAGAAGAAAACGAGGAAGAAGACGAAGAAGACGAATGTGATGAAAAAATTGCCATGGCACGGGAAAGAAAATGATAATGGTCAAGTGTATATATAATGGCTTCAGATCTGTCTCGGTTAGATCCATTTTTCTCGTGTTTTACACTTTTACTATATTTATTTGGATTCTTTTTATAAATAATCCATTTTTAGAAATTAAATTCAAAAATACTAATACTTTTATAATAAATAAAAATCTTATTTTTTAGCATGAAAGACAAAATTCGTTGTAATTTGGATGATCAATCACTTCTGCATTGTGTTTCTGATTGTCGAGATTTGAAAAACCTTTGGCAGATGTCAAGTTTCGCTAACCCATAATTTTTCTCTTAGACGATAATAAAGGGTCGTATTTAATATGTTTAATGTGACAAAGATATTGTAACTTTCCTCTACCTCTCTTATTTTTTTCCCTCTCTCGTCTTATCTTTCATTTCTATAAAATCAAAATTGTTCTTAAGTCACAATGATTTTACCGTCACAAAATCACTGAATCTGCTTCTAATAACAAATGGCTCTGACAAGGTAGGTCACACACTAGCCACAATTTTTTTGGACCACAACAAGAAATTATTCTCCTTTTTCAATTTATTATGGCTACTTGTAAAATGACAGACATGTTTCACCTCTTTTTCAGTAACCCTTAACACAGGCACATAAATGAGAGACATGACTAATGGAACAATATCAACCTTCATTTGCATAATTATTAACTTTAATGGAAGTTGTCTTGGAATCCCTACCAGAGCAGGTTATGGAGGAATCGTCTATAACTCCTCTAGTACTTGGTGTCATACCCTAATTTGTATCCCTAAAATCTCATCTATCATACCAATGCATCACATCATAATCACAAACTTGGTAACCTCCTAACCCTCTTGTCATTGAGGAGATTACCATGCACCTTTTATGTGTGTTATCTTTGTATTTATGTTTGTTTATCTTTCTAACTTTGCTAACCCTTATTCAAAATACAAAAATATACTTTGTTTCATTTTCTTGTTTTTGCTAAGTGGGGCTTTGAATCAAGTGGATCAAGTGTAGTTTTCAAATTAGGGTTTTGATTGCTCAAGGTCAAATATTAGTCAACCGTGATCCTTAGGAACTTGCACTCCAAGACATGACCTATAATCTTAGGCCATGATCACCTCAAGAGTCATTCAACCTCATTTGGCCAAGAAAAGTTTAAGGTTAGTGCATGTTTTCAAGCTTGGTACAAGATAGATTCATGTGTTTATTTTCATGCGTTCTTCACCACTTTTCTCAAGATTTTATCAAGATTAATCAAATGTTTATCAAAGATGTATCATTTAAGGTTCATATGATTACCATTGTGCCTTAGAATGCAAGGAAATGTCAAAGAACTCAAGTTGGTACAAGTTGGTTTGGCCTAAAAATCAGTTTTATCATGCCTTTAGTCCAAACATCATAACTTCCTCAATTTTCATAATTTATGGGCGCTTATTTTTTCCAAATGTCAAGAATGATGTCCTTTACAACTTATCTTCACAAGTCAAAATCCCATTATGCCTCTAAGAACTTCAAATTTTGCATTGCATTCAAGGCCACATGGGCACAAAACATGGTCCATGACATGGTTGACATAATGCATGACCTATACTTCAATGACAAAACCTCAACTTTGCAAGCTTCTCATTTTCAGTTCACTTGTCCTTTTGAGTCGATTATTTTTGCATTGTCTTCCTTGTCATGAAAGGAACATTTGACTCAAGAAAAATCAAAAAACGCGTGAGAGAATCTCATTTGGCCTAAGCTTGAACATGGTACCCTGAAATATGTTTTGTACCATGACCCATAATTGGTAATCATGTGCAATCTTCAAATGGGACCACCAAGTCATGTGCAAACCTCTTCCTAACAACAAAGAGCATCTCACCACTAAGCAAAATGATCTGAAAAGCGCTCAGCTCACACATTCCACACTAATTTTTCACATAGTTAACTCTAGAAAATTCCCAAATTGGTTGGCACGATTGGAGAGGATATTCACACATATGATGAGCTCAACATTCCTCTTATAAATAGAGCATCCGTATTCACTCAAAAATAATCTTGAAAAGCCTAAAAAACTTCTGCCATACTTGAACCCGAGAACCTTCAAAAATCAGAAGTTCAAACTCTCTTTTTCTTTTCGTTTCAACTTCAATTCTCCACCCAGAACTCTTCATTGGCATCCTCTAGAGGTGTTAGAAGCTTAACAAAAATTTGGAAGCTCCTCTAAGTACCAACTCCATTTCACCATTTTCACATCTCTGAAGCTCACTTCGAACAGGTAGCCCCAAGTTTCTATTTCACTCAAACGAGTTACCAGACTCTTTGTCTTGCTTCACTGATCAAAAACCCTCACTCACTTGGAATTTATTCTTCACATACACGATTTAATTTTACTTTGAAGCTAGCTAGGGTTTATCGTATTTCTACAAATTCTCTCTTCTCAAAGCAAATAAATTGCTCTGTTGAAGAGAGACTTGGATGATGACATGAGATGAAGCTAAACCATGTGATTGATAGCTTAAAATCACTAGATCTACGATCTGGAAAAGTGATTGAGCGGAGGTTGAAGATGAGTGGGTGCGCGCGCAATGGTGGGAAATTCAAATTCCCTGATCAATCAGGTAGCGCCACCTACTCCTATTTGTTGCATTATTTTCTTTTTATTATTTTAAATTCTATTTTATTTCCTTTTCTACAAAATTAATTTAAAATAGCTCTTAACATCTTTTTCACTCCAATTTTTCTACAATTTTCTCAAAATATTTTCTACCTTATGTGATTTTTCCAAATTTTTGAAATGATTTTTTTTCATTTTTTGCCATTTTATTATTTTATATTTAATTGATTTCAAACATTTTTTCTCATTTATTTTGAAATATTTCGGATCCAATCTTTTGAGATCTTGATCTTAGTAGTTGTACTGATATTCTATAATTTTCTTGAGCATTTATTTGACGATTTGATGCTTCATTTGAATTTTCATTTTATTTTCCATTTAAAATCATTTTAATGCATTTTTATTTTTATTTTTTTGTCACTTCCACACACTAAGGCTTTCTCTTGGGCTACCTTACAATGAGACTATTTATTTCTTGCTATTTAATTTATGCTTTAGGAAAGTCCCTTAATCTTCTCCCCTTCTTTAGTTTTCAAAATCTTCCTCCTATTTCAAAAACTTCTTGTTTTTAAAAACTTCACTCTTTTCTTAAACAAACCTTAATTTTGTCAAGTGATCTAGAAATTTTTTTCCCAATAAATGCTAAAACACTTAAGCATATTCAAACTCTTTCAAAGTTTCTAAAAAAGGACAAATCTCATCAAACTTCTTTTTGTGCCTTAGTGCACCTTTCTTTTCAAACCAAACCTTTTTCTGAAAGAAAGGATATGAGTTTATTCTTGAAGTGATGCAAATTCCTATACTTCTACAGTATGTTGAGAAATTGATAGACATTTTCTACTTGAATATTGAGATATGCTTGTTGAGTAAATCCAAGTAAATTCTCCATATCAAGATGATGCAAATGCTCATTTCCTCATACTTATGGGTAGTAAGTTGAGTTTTACATTCAAATACGACAAAATATCTTTTTCACCTAAAAATAAATCAACAAACAAAAGCTCATTTCATAAACAAATGCAAGTGGCTCCTGTGGAGTACCATAGATGTGAGGGGTGCTAATACTTCCCCCTTGTGAAATTATGGTATAATAGAGTTCAGATATCCTATGACATGTTGAGACATCTAAATCTGAACAAACAACATGGCAAGGTATAAACATACAAAAGAATACTAAAGAGGATAAACAACACATATGAATTGTTAACCCAGTTCAGAGAAACTCTCCTACTATAGGGGCATACCAAGCCAGGATCAAGTCCACTATGATAGTATCAAGTCAAAGCTAAACTCCCTCATTTACAACTTCTCACTTAATCACTATATGTGCTATACTTATATCTAAGACTTACCTAGATATGAGGTCCTCCTCAAATCTCATTCAATCACAAACAACGATTGGATAAAACAGGAAGACACACTTCTATGACGACAAACTAGAAGACACACTTCCATGATAATACCTAGCTAAGACTCTTGACTAAGAACACAACTTGGATTTGCTTAAAAGCTTCCTCCAAGAATAATACTCAACTCATTACCTAAAGGCTTCTAAGTTAGAACAATAATAAAGATAACAAATTTATAACACCAGTCCAACTCACAACCGAGTGGAATACACAACCAACTCCCCTAGAGAATGGTACAGACTCAGCCATAATGATTACATCTTTCTAATTCTCGGTTGGCACCTTTTCCTAGGATATAATGCTTCTATTTATAACCTATCTTCCAACTGGATTTGGGCTTCTAATCACAGCATATCAGTTGTTACAAATCTGTAGAAGATTCCGCAACAAAATAGGTCTTCAATCAAATCTTTCCTAAAAAGTCTCCTTATTTAGAAAGTCAATATTATTCAATATTCTTCTTGATTCTTCTATACCTTTAAATCAGCGCCTCATAGGATTGTATAATATTCCCAAAATAGCATGCATTTGTTAAATCATAACAGAATCTAACTATTCATCTCAACTCATGCACAATGTCGTATGACCCTGCATATGACATCTTATCCGACATGTTGCTCCAGATGTTGAAATATTTCAACTTAACATGTTCTTCATAAAATAGGACTTCTTGCTCAACCTGTTCTTCATAGCAAGTAATCATATCATATTTAACATATTATTGCTATATTTGTTTTACTAAAATTAATGATAATCTTAAAAATAGAGAACTAACACCTTGTATAACCAACTCTCATACCTAAATCTCTCTTTTGTTTTGGTTTTCAAAACTTTTTGTGGGTTTTTTCGACCTTTTCCCTTTTCTCTTTAGAAACAATAAAGTTCGGTGGCGACTATTGCTTTTTCTGAGTTAAGTTAGTCAATAGCTTAATCTCAATTTTCCCTCTGCGGCAGATTGGCAACTCTGTTGGGGAGT